GTACGCCTTTTATCTCTGACGAAGGACTCTAGAAGGAGCCCGAAAGCTCAGATAAGTAAACTTATGATTCCGGTGATCGCAACGCCTTCTACTTGTACCTGGGATGCGAACATTTGCCTCAATTCGTTACAAAGAATGCTTACACTAATGAAACCAAGCGCTATTCTGCAGATGCAGTCAACACTGAACGTATGTAAAATACTACTGGACATCTTCAGCAAATCTAGGATCAAGGAGGCACTAAATTATATTATATGTCGTTGTTCAAATATAAGCTATGCAACTGATATGCAGGAACATAGGACATGAAAGGCGTATGCGTCACCTAGGGGATCTGCAAATCACTGGGAGTATTATTTTTCACCATAACCACTAGAAAGACGGTTTTATGATGAGAAATCAAAGTGAGGTGGATGTGGATATGACAAATGCCCTTTCGATCTGTAAGTACATTAGTCAGAATCTCCAAATGATGTCACACAATTGGTAAATCTGCCTTCAGTCAGCAGGAGGAGCCTTCAAAATTTAATTATGACAAGGCAGTTAGAGTTGCGTACGACGTTTTATTGGATAGCCATTTACGACCACGTCGAAACCCCAATGAGTATCCGACGGTATTGACATATATATATCGGGCATTTTGGAGAAGGGTAACTGCCTCGAATTACAGCTCCCAGAAAGTATGGACAAAAAGGACATCGGCATCTTGATAGGAACGATTATCTCCGTGCTCTTCCTCATTCTCGGAGTGGCCATTCAAAGATGGACATGTGGTGGTGTGCTAGGCAGCTGTGTAAACTTCTACAAGAGCAGTAACTACATGGCCATCGGCGTCCTTCTTGTCATCGCCATCATTTTGCTTGCCCTCGGGCTTATTTTTATCATCCTCGATCTGACGGTTGGCAACAACTGGATGGGAATTGCAGCAGTCGTATTTGCCTTCATTGGAGCTTTGCTAGCTCTAATTGCTATGCTTATCTACTACTTTACAGAACAATTTATTTCTCCTATTCTCGCCACTATCGGCATGGCTTTTGGTGTCGCCGTAGCCATATTTATGCTGATGCAGAGACTCTCTTGTTAAACACCCATTGTAAAGTATTCTTCATGTTACAAATAAAGTTTTGTTATTTCGAAAATAAAGAAATATGTCCGACTCGGACTGCGTTGTTGTGTGTTTTTCTTTAAATCACGTGGTGTGATAAGCAGTCAAGCCTCTGGGCAAAACTGGAAGGAGTAATAAGTTGGTTTAATTACTTGGTTTTTACTGTAGTTTTTTCGATTTTGTCCTCGATTGCAATCAACTTCCGCATATCGCATTTGTGAGCTACAGATTATGCAAATGTCGTCATGCTGACGTGGGGGCCATATTCATTTGCATAAGTATGTATTAATTACGCAACCTTATTCCGAAAGCTATAATATTTTCTATAGAATCGGTAAGGTAATTTCAAAGCACAAATATTGTTAACACGCTAAACTGTTTCCTCTTAATTTCAACGAGTATTCTGCTCTTCAGGTAGTACTTATACTCCTAATACTATGGTAAGAA